TCATAATTGCGTAGAAATCGTATTTTTGCATAAACTTAGTGACTGTCTTTTTGCATAGCTCGTTTTCAGGTACTGTTTTATCGAATAGAATTTGTTTTACCTCAAATACGATTTTAGACGTATAAACTGTTTAAGAAGTTCTTTCGATGTTTTGATAACGAAAACGGGGTCGATGCACGTCTTTCTCACGCGATTGGAGAGTTACCTGCACCTTTCGCTTTTCTTTATTAGCTTAACCACGTACTGGTGCGTCTCATCCTTTTCTTCCGAGAGATATTTTTCTAAATTTTATATTTTTCGTCTATAAGCTAAGGAGGTTTTGCAGGTTGCCATTCAGTGTAACCTATCGTTTAAAAGTACTTTCTATCAAATTTTGCATTCCCGTGGCGTTATGCGACATGTTACATAGAGACTAAAACCTGGAAAGTATTATCAACTTGTTGAGAATCTTTTGTTCAGCTTTCTGGTATGTCGAATTTTCACATAGGTCGTAAAAACTAACAAAATCGGTTAAAGAACAGAGTAGTGTACACTCACGTTGTTCACGTGTCCTGTTAGACCTTACATTCTCCCTCCATCTACCAATCCCTTTGTTTTTGATATGACACAAAAAGCTCTACTTAAAACAAATAGTAGCGATTATGCATAACATGATAGTAGGTTGCCGATGCGAACGACTAGGCGACTGTCTGGATATGGAAGACCTAAATACATCCAATCGCAATCTTGGTAGGTCTTCTTGTCCACTAAGAACGTCACCGATACTGTCATCTGTGCCAATTTAATGAAGTCGAAAAATACGCACCCAGGGCGAGAAACTTATGTATTAGGTTGTCCGACCTGATGCAGTTGCGTGCAAAGCGACTGTGTTGTAGAAGCTGAAAGATTATGCCAGACGCGACTGATCGAACACACTAGAAAAGGTGAATTCTTGGGCAATTTATATCTCGTTGGACTTCGGATTCGAGTTCAGTGTCTTTTTAGTATCTGACCGACGTTTACAACCGGTTTTTGACGCCAAAAACAAACGAGATTAACCGGAGTAACAATAGCTGAATGTCCAACTTGTAAAACTAAATGCCCGGGCCATTTTGTTTGTCCCAGCCGGCATATCGCTTAAAAGAGGCTAAGGAGCCTAGTAAATTAATGTCCCGAACTGTTGTAAATTATACTTAGCAAGTACCTCTTTACCTTTAACGCATCTTTTTTCTTTAAACGTGTAAGTTTTTATATTTGTCAACTCTGGTAGGAACAAAATTATGGGTGAGAAATATTTGGTTGCTAGTATTTCGTGGAATAATCTCTAACTACTGTTTCAGCATAAGAAAGTGGGTCGTCATCTCTCATTGGGCGGCGTCTCTACTCTACAACTCATGAAAGTACAATACTTTTCATCCATTTCCACATGCGCACGATTTGAATTGGGGGACGGTACACTATTAATGGGTCTCGTTGTTAGTGCCTTGTATTGCCTTTGTTCCTAGGGTCACTTTGAAGCTTTGCAGCATGGCTTCCCAGCCATACACCTGAAATTTCTGTCTTTCGTTAAAATGTTTCTGTTTTCTTTTAAATAATTATACTAGCTTCAGCGACACAGCTCTCCAGGTCCAGCAGGCTCAACCAGCGATTTTGCCTTGGTCAACACTCAGCGACAGGAGGTTGCCCTGCACTCCACTTACACTCGTTTTTACGCCGACCTCTCTGTCAACTTATGGTCCTCCCTGGCCGTCGACGTCCTGCTCTACCCCCTGGAGACCATCGTTATTCGGCTCTGTGTGCAGGGCACTCGTACCCTCGTAGACAATCTGGATACTGGGGTCTCCGTCCTGCCAATCGTCTCCGCCTTTGATGGTCCC